TATTTTGTTAAACTGTTATTTCCATGACAAGAAATTCGACACCAATTTTCGACTGTTCAAGTGAAGTCAGTAGTATAGGATGGACAGGATAGGTACCATTGGTGGATTGTGGGTTGGTGGATTGTGGACTTTGGATTGTGTGGATCGTGGTTTTGTGTAGATGTAACGTGAAGGTATACCAGACGCCCCGGGAGGTCGTGTCGGGCGGTATCGCTACTTAAAGCTAAGGTCCCAATTACGCCGTGCCCGTCGGGGATGTAGCCCCGGCTGGCCCCGGCCGGGTTCAGGAGTCGAGCGGGCATCGGCTGTCGTGGTCACAATTAAAAGTTTCCTTCAGTAGCATGTTGTTAGAAATTTTGTCACCCTCTTTGGTCGGTATCCGGCAAGTACCCAGCAGATTCTCTGACGATGTCTTGTATTGACCTGTACGTAATGCAGAATTCGCGTATTTGTTGTGATCATTTGATCTGTGAGGTCACACATTTTACCCGGGTTTACGAAGTACACACCTTTATTCTGTTCATCTGGTCTGTGACGTAAGAAATGTGTCCCGGTGGAATTCCGGCAACCGGAGGGGTACCTCTCGGTGTTCTCACGATGAGGTCACGGCGTCTTTTTGTCAGCGGGGCCCGGGTAGAATTTAACTCAGAATTAAATTCTTATCGGGGCCCCAACGGGCCAAAAAATAGCCCGGTAGCCGCGGGGTGCCCCGCGGGGCCACATCGGGGTCCCGCCCGAAAGTGGTAAAAAACAGCCCGGGAACTACCCGCCAGGGCCCCTTTTCCCAATTGGGACCTTAGCTTTAGATGGACAGTTTTTAGCCTCAGGAGGTCGTGCTGGGCATGGGTTAATCCTTTTTTTTTTTTAATTAAGCTGGGACCTGTTGAATCCCAGCGCGGTCACTTCAAACCTTTCTTACGCGTCCCGGGAGGACGTGTCGGGCGGTATCGTCATTTATTAAGAGTAGGTTGTGTATGTATTGCTGTGTCAGTATGGAGGTGTTGAAAACCCAAACGGAAGACACATTTCGTCATCTGCTCCACCACAGAGCTCCTAACGTTTTTTTACGCGTCCCGGGAGGGCGTGTTGGACATGGGTGGTTGTGTTTGTGTAGATCGATGGATAGATACATTACATACATACATGTATGCGTGATGGAAATGTGTATTAATGTGAGCATAAACAAATGAAATGAGTTACTCATTGTGAACATAACGACAACATGGGTCACTCATGCACACACACACACACACACACACACACACACACACACAAACATACGCACACACGATAAAGGACTGGAAGCAAATGCACATTTTATTTTCTTGTCATTTTTTTTCGGGGCTCCAGTTTGAACCAGCATGTCTTTTAAGGACCGTTACAAAAACCATGACATTGTGAATCACTCATTGTACACACCTTACGATGCCGTGAGCCACTTATTGCATATGACTGATTGTGTATGTAGATGGATAGATGCAGACGTACATGAATGCGCGATGGAAGTATGTATTCAAATAGAATGAGTCCCTCATTGGTAACATAGCGACATGGTGAGTTACTCATTGCACATACATAACGGTATAGCGAATCACTCATTGCACATACATAACGACATCATGGGTCACTCATTGCACATACATTACGACATCGTGGGTCACTCATTGCACATACATTACGACATCATGGGTCACTCATTGCACATACATTACGACATCATGGGTCACTCATTGCACATACATTACGACATCGTGGGTCACTCATTGCACATCCATGACGATATCCGTGAGTCACTTAGCATATGCACACTATGACGATGTTGTGAGAGTCAATGATTGCTCCGGAGTATTTGTGGTAAGAAGCTAACGCGGTTTAATGCTTGTGCGTATCATGTGTACAAATATCATGTACACAAAAGACTGTTTCGAAACAATTTTTTATCAGTCATTAGTCATGAATGTATCGAGGAACTTACAGCAAACCAACGTATGGCAATCGTCCTATACGTTGTGGCAAACACGGTACACCTGTGTCAATAGTTACATTAAGAAAAGCTGTACTGGGAGGACGACGTTGTATTATTTTAGAACGAGGTACCCATATTTTTTCATCAATGCTCTGACACCCAGTTTTTGCTGTGCACGATTTATAACTGTAAGGCGGAGGTACATGTAAGCCAGCAAACTCCAGCGCGTTTTGTCTCCTTGATCATGCGTTGAGGGACATCGCCAGGATCGTGAGTTAGAGGAATGGTTCAGTCGCGATAGAGCGTCCACTTCTCCTCATCATCACTATCAAAGCTGTACTCTTCACTTTCCTCTTCAGAAGAAGCCGTGCTGGAAGACACGTCTGAGCTTACATCACTCTCAGAATCACTTTGATCGCTGTCAGTTTCTGTCCCCGACTCTACCTTCTGAGAGTCCAATTCAGACTCATCTTCTTCTGAGACTTCATCATCCAAGGAAGATTCCAGTGATTCCATGTCTGCCGTTGCCTCGTCCGACGGGTCGTCGGTGTCGTCAAATATGTCAGCGGATCGGTAAGAACCTGACTCGGCGTCCATGCTCTCTTCTCCCGAAGAAATTTCTGCCACGTCTCTGTGTATTGTGTCGCGATGACGGGCGAGGTTCGCTGTTCCACTAAACTTTTTTGCTGCATATGTCACACGTGTGAGGCATGGTTGTGAAAATGGCGTTGCACGTTCAGTGTCGACCTTATGTGATACTTGGGAGTCTCTTGCAAATCACTCAATATACACATTAGATATAGCGAGTCATCCATGGCATAGATAGATAAATGAATAGATATAGATAGATAGATAGATAGATAGATAGATAGATAGATAGATAGATAGATAGATAAATAGATACATGCATGCACTCGCTGTAGGATGAAAAAATGTATACCTGTGCGTATATGCAAAGTTAAGAGTCACTCATTCATTGCTCCCGGAGTAATAAGATATATCTAGACATCATGCATGTGAGAATACACGATACGGACAACCATGACATCTATACTTACTTGATACAAATACTCCGGAGTAAAACTTTTAGACCAAAACCGAGTAATACTTACTCCGGAGTATTTACAGATGTACAAAGTAAATTAGTCACTCATAAATAAGTCATGAGTCACTCACTCATTGTTCAGTAATAGATATAAATTTATCATTTACAATGACGACACCGACGTTCCGTCGGATGAGACAATGACAGAGCATGACATGGAATCACTGGAATCTTCCTTGGATAATGAAGTCTCAGAAGAAGATGAGTCTGAATTGGACTCTCAGAAGGTAGAGTCGGGGACAGAAACTGACAGCGATCAAAGTGATTCTGAGAGTGATGTAAGCTCAGACGTGTCTTCCAGCACGGCTTCTTCTGAAGAGAAAAGTGAAGAGTACAGCTTCGATAGTGATGATGAGGAGAAGTGGACACTCTATCGCGACTGAACCATTCCTCTAACTCACGATCTTGGCGATGTCCCTCAACGCGTGATCAAGGAGACAAAACGCGCAGGCAAGAAGTTTTATTTTGCAGAGTTTGCTGCTGCCTTACCTCCGCCTTACAGTTATGAAATCGTGCACAGCAAAAAAAGGGTGTCATCAGAGCGGACATTGATGAAAAAAATATGGGTACCTCGTTTTGAAATAATACAACGTCGTCCTCCCAGTACAACTTTTCTTAATGTAACTATTGACACGTGTACCGTGTTTGCCACAACGTATAGGACGTCTGCCATGCGTTGGTTTGCTGTAAGTTCCTCGATACATTCATGACTAATGACTGATAAAAAATTGTTATAAAACAGTCTTTTGTGCACATGATACGCACATGGACTAAACCGGGTAGGCTTCTTACCACAAATACTCCGGAGCAATCATTGACTCTCACAACATCGTCATAGTGTGCATATGCTAAGTGACTCACGGATATCGTCATGGATGTGCAATGAGTGACTCACGGATATCATCATGGATGTGCAATGAGTGACTCACGGTGCCGTTATGTATGTGCGATGAGTTACTCGCGATGCCGTTATTTATGTGCAATGAATGACTCACCGTGTCGTTATGTTAACAAGGAGTGACTCATTCTATTTGTGTATGCAAACATGAATACATACTTCCATCGCGCACTCATGTACGTATGTATCTATCCATCTATATACACATATGCAGTAAGTGGCTCACGGTATCGTAATGTGTGTACAATGAGTGATTCACGATGTCGTATTCACACCTTGAGTGACTCACAGAACAAATAGTGATGTCATGGTTTTTGTAAAATTCCTTAAACGACATGCTGGTTTAAACTGGAGCTCCGAAAAAAACAACAAATTGACAAAGAAACAAAATGTACATTTGCTTCCAGTCCTTTCTTTATCGTGTGTGCGTATGTTTGTGTGTGTGTGTGTGTGTGTGTGTGTGTGTGTGTGTGCATGAGTGACCCATGGTGTCGTCATGTTCACAATGGGTAATTAATTTCATCTGTATATGCTCACATTAATACATATTTCCATGACGCATACATGTATTTATGTATCTATCGATCTACACAAACACAACCACTCATACCAAACACGCCCTCCCGGAACGCGTAAAAGCACGGTAGGAGCTCTGTGGTGGAGCAGATGACGAAATATGTCTTCCGTTTGGGTTTTCAACACCTCCATACTGACACAGCAATACATACACAACCTACTCTTAATAAATGACGATACCCCCCGACACGACCCCTCGGGGCGTCTGGTATGCCACATTGACCATCACGTGACCTGTACACCAAACCACGATCCACATAATTCACAGTCCACCAAAATGATACCTATCCTGTCCATACTATACTACTGACGTCCCTGTCAATGCATAAGTTTGCATCCACACCATGTGCCAGAGAATTACAAACATCCCTGAACATAGACGGGGGACGCCGCAGACTTGCCTACCTGCTAATGTGCCCAGGTCAGGTACTGGCCCCTTGCTCCTATCCGCTAGGTTTCTCCAGCCAGCTCTATCAAGGGCAATAGTCTCTGCTTCCCTTAGGGTAAGCCCTTGTCACTTTTAATCTGGTCTTTCCACCTGTTGGGTGGTCTTCCCTGGGTCTAAGGTTTTTGAACTCCAGGTGGTATGCCTTATAAACTAAGGTGTTTGCTGGTCTTTGCATCACATGCCCAAACCATCTAAGCCTTTGAGTGCGTATCTAGTCAATGATGGTTTGTTCTGTCCCGAGTCTTGACCGGATTTCAGCATTTGGTATGCGGTCCCAACGGGTGATGCAGAGTATCGCTCTTAAGCCACAGACCTTTAATACTGATATGAAAACAGCTGACCTTCTGACATGTTTTTTGCTTTAAGGTTGTAGTAATGAAACTACGCACCATGACATTGTCAACAAGGTCAAAGATGACAACTTCCTGACCTGTCGAGATCCCCAGGCCGACATTGTCACGGGAGAGTGGAGTGGCAAAACAACCGCTTCTTCTAAAATCAACAAGGCCTGCCTGACGATAACACTCAAGCGAGATCCCACCTATCACTACTCCACAACCGTCTCTCCCTGTCTCATCCTGATCGTCCTCATGATCATCACCTTCATCATGCCCATTGATAAAGGCGACAGGATTGGATTCGGCGTCACCGTGCTGCTGTCCATGGTGGTGTCGCTAGTTGTCGTTACTGGCTTCCTGCCTGTGTCAAGTACCCTGCCATTCATCGGTGAGCTGATTTTAAAGTCCTTTAGAACTCACTAAATTATTATAGGCCAAGAATACGACTATGTTCGGACATAGAATCCTTTCATCACAGCCAACTGTGGCAATATTACTGACATCAGTGATGTCATTTGTTGAACTGAGAGGTGTGTTAGAGTGTCTCATGTACTCGTATCATGGGGAGAATGGATTGACCAATCATGACTTTGCATTTGATATTAAGAAATGGAATGTTCTTATTGTGCATGTTTGCCCTCGGAAGGTAATGGTGATAAGTTGAACGTTCTTTGCACAGTACAGGTGATATAAGACCGGTATCTAACTTCATGTCTGATACGTATCAATATGTAGAGGTTCAACTTCTTCTCGCTTCTTAATACTGACAGCATTAACTTGCTCGGTGGTACATGTATATCTGGTGAATATTTGGAAACGGTCAGGCTTTATGTCTTTAAACTTATGACTGGGAATTAGCCTCTTGATGTGTTGCTTACCTGCAGCGATGCTGATCATTGTGTGCATGGGTCTGATGGCACTCTTCATGCTGTGGACTGTCTTTATCCTCATCATACACGACAAGAAGGGACCCCTTCCGAAATGGGCACGGACTTTCTTCCTGAAGCATATGGCAAGGTACGACAAACCTTCAAATTCTCTTAATATGGGGTCCTATTGTGTATTATTGTAAGCTTGAAAGTTTGTCCATGTTTTTAGAAGTTATTCTGAAACAGGTATGAACTGTAATTTTCGACACAAAAAAATGGGACTTACCTAGCTAAATGTTCTACTGTCCAACTCCAGTCTTTGTAAAGCAACGAAGAATTCACTGCTTACGTGAGGTCACACCACGCAGATAGAACCCATGAATCGTTAAGCAGTGGGTCATTTTTAGAAGCATAAAGTTTGTGGCACCCTCCTTTTCTGTTGAGGGTTGCTTATAATGCCCTGATTTTCATGAAAGTTGGTTGTGTCAAATTTTTGCATTTTTGCAGTTTTAACTTGATTTTTTTTATTCCGAAACATGTAATTACAAGACGTGGTGACGACACACTCAAGTTTTTTTTTTCAACTTATATTAATGCCGACACCAACACAGGGACAGTACAATACTCATTTACACCTGAGCGAAGTGAGGAAAGTCGTGTAAAGTGCCTTTCCCAAGGGCACAAGATCGGTGACATTGATTTCAAAATGTAAATTCGGGCACCATACTAATATCATAATGTGATAAAATGTTAACCGGGATTTCTGCACTTCCAGGGCCGTGTTCTTGGGTGACTTGACCAAGAAGCTGAAAAATGAAGAGCCAACAGAAGACGCCACCAAGAACAAAGTTACTGACATCGAAGGGCACTCCAACCACGCCTTCATGACCAATGGCCATGGCCCAACCGCCGGACGAGGCAACCCACCCCTCAACGTGAAGAACGAGGTCGGAGCTACCCTGATTGGGTTAAAGGGAAGCGTAGATAGGTTGTCCGATAGCATCGATGCTCTTGCAAAGGCAAGTGGCGGTGATGACGATGAAGAAAATTCAGAGTACGCTTTGTTGGCTCATGTCCTTGACCGTTTGGGCTTGGTTTTCTACATTGTTGCTGTCGCCGTGGCTATTCCGTGTACTCTGTTCATTAATCGCCAACGTGTTATTCCTACCTATTAGGAAAAAGACTCACAACAGATGATTACAAATGCAAATTATGTCTCTACGCAATTTTTTTCGCCTGATTCGACGATATTTGATTGAAATTTATAATCTGAAATCAAAGCAACAGGAACACAAAACAATGCGAAAAAACACTGTTGACTTACAGTATTACTGTATATTAGAAATTAAATATTAAAAGGTGAAAACAAGGACATTATACACAGTGTATGCATGTGTATAATGCGCATGCATACATTGCATGCACATTATGCACATTATGTGATACTGTACATGTGATTTGTGAATCACAGTATCACAAATGGTACTTAGAAAAGGCTTAGAAAATACAAAACTTTAGCAAAATCATAAAAATCCTCCGAAGTTCGATAGCAGGACATAAACTTGATTTAAAGCAATAGGAACACAAAAATGGGAAAAACTGTTGACTTGCAGTATTACTGTATGTTAGAGATTAAATATTGATAAATAAAAAACAAAAGGCTTAAAAATACAAAACTTTTGCAAAATCTTAAGAAATCTCTGAAATTCGATAGCAGGACATAAACTGGATTAAAAAATTCTATACGAAGAATCACATTTCAGATGCTGAAGGAAGGTATCTCAACTTACATGTAAGACTGACTAAATTATGGAAGTAAATTATGTATACCAATATCTTAAAACAGAAATTATTCTAAAATTCAGCCATATTACAGACAGGTTCTTATTACCGTAAACTGATAAAGGTAATTTCAAGGAGGGAAAAAAGTGACCACATGATCATGATACAGGTTATCACTTGTCTAGTACAAGTTATTCTGTAGATTTATACTGCATTGGGCATTAGGCAACCTGGCGCTATTACAAGGATAATGACAAGAACTACATGTATATGATGCATTTCTAAGTATCAAGATTAATTTTGAACTACATGGTACAAAAGGTGTGTTGTAAGAAACAAGAATTGTGTAAATAGAATATAATGTAACGTTTACTAACATTATTCGCAGTTTTGTGTCATGTCAGGTTAGGTTAACTTAGCTATACAAATGTAGGTTAGGTCAGGTCAGGTTAGGTTAGGTCAGGTCAGGTCAGGTTACGTCAGGTTAGGTTAGCTTAGGTTAGGTTAAGTCAGGTCAGGTTAGGTCAGGTTAGGTTAGGTCAGGTTAGGTTAGGTTAGGTTAGGCTAGGTCAGATTAGGTTGGGTTAGGTCAGGTCAGGTTAGGTTAGCTTAGGTTAGGTTAGGTCAGGTTAGGTCAGGTTACTGTTATGTTGCGTATTGTGCCTGGTAAACTGGAGTTTGCTACCAAATGTAAGTTTGCTACCAAATGTGAGATTTTAAAGCGTATGTCAGAATATGCCTATGTTTATTATTTCATGATATATCTGTTATACTACAGTGACTGGCGAAAGGTAGTGGATGCTACCTGAAACTTCTGACCGTTTCCAAAATCATATCCAAATGCTAGGGTAACTGCTTTTTGGCGTATCGCATTACCTAGACGTCTAACCTTCATCGACGTATCTGTTATACTACATTGTTGCATTGTAGGAAATTCAGTCATGACATTAACCACTATTTAAGTTTATAAATATTGTTGCTTCAAGTAAGACGTCTATCTTAATTAAGACTGAGAATCGTATTATATCTCTATGCTAGTAAATCACAACATATACATATACTTCCATCATCGTCATTACTGACCTTTCTGATATCTCTACTATTTCTGTTGATTTTGCTGTATTACTTATAGTTTAATAAATCATGGTAAAAGGGACTATCTGTGATTGCTATGTTTATGTTCAATGATCTTGTAAAGACAACAGGGCCAGGTGCTTTTCTTGGCGATCTAAGTAATTTTCATCAGGAAAAAAAAATTAATACACACGTGAATGTATCATGCAAGTTCATCTGTATTAGTAGTTACATGTTTAAAGTTAAAACCTTTGGTCCAACACACCAAAAATTCTCTCACCTAGAGCTTTCGACCAGTCACTCTGGTCTTCCTCAGTAGACTGACCCAGTAAAGCTTGTCACGTCTTCTTTGAAGTGTGACGTCAACACTGGGTCTAAGTATTTTACAATACTGAAAGGACCAAAATGTTGCATTCCATATCTTGCCTTCATCTTCAAAACATACTCCCTTCCGACCCACTCAACGCAAATGACGCCACATTATGTACTTTACTTCTTACAGGTAGCCCCTCCCTCCCATACTCTACTAACTGCCGTATCTTTGATATTGTGTTCAACTAATTCATCACTCTGGAAGATTTGACCAATCTCATTAACGATATAGGTATTGGTGCGCCAGCCACTTTCATTTGTATGTTTATGTTATATTTTATGTCATCTTTATGTTTACATTTGTATTACGTTTTATGAGCAACGGATTCACCTAAGCACATCAAGTGCTTCCTATCTAATGCTCAAAAATCTATGTGAATAAAATAAAATAAAATAACACATTTTCATCTGCTCACCTTCAAAAGAGCCACGTCCTCGTCCTGTAATATATCCCTGTCATCCCCATACAGAACTTCTATAACCCTCTCGACTTCTAAGTTATCTAAAAGGTACGTGTGGTTCGTCTTCAGCAGCCTTCTGTCTTTCTTGTCCATTTTTAAGGGGAGCAGGTGAGGACTGCTTAATCAAGTTGGCAGGTTTCGATTCCACACCTGTAACTTCCGTGTTGCACGCTTCCCATGATGCACCGCCAGTTGTCGCAAAACGGATGAGATTTTACGACAGTTTGTCTCAACATGCGAAACCCGTGAAACAAAATAACTTTCGAAACAAAATAGTCATGGGAAAACCTGGTTAACACAAACTCCACATTGAAAAATGCAGACATGTACATAGCCACATCCCTTTGCATCAATGTGTAATTCAGATAAAATTGAGGACGAGTGCCATTTTATTATTGACTGTATATTATACAACAATGGAAGAAATATACTTTTTACTTGTATACAAGATAGGGTTCCTAGTTTTTAACATCAAGATAGTACAGACAAATTCGGATTCCCTATGGATCAAGAGAAACCATATACTTTAAGTTACACATTTCCATACATCTACAATTGTCGTAAAAAGCAGGAAGAAGTTGAACCTGTAGTTTACACCAGTCTGTATAGTTGTAGGAAGATATACATTTAGTTTGACTTCTGCTTCATCCCCATGACTTGTACTTGTAAGAGATTTTAAGAGTGCTTATCTGTTCTTGTAAGAGCATAAATGAACACTGAAGGTCTTTATATTCATTACAAATCAAGATCTTATTGAGGCCAGATTTGCAAAGTTATGAAGCATCTTAACTAGAAATTCTACTGTCTCTACGAAGTTCACGCCTCTCTGCTGTTTCAGTCAATAATATTCACCTTATTTCTCATAGGTCATGTTTGACAAACTCTTGCAAAGCAAGAAATGCAGCTTGAACCGACTTAGAGTTGGACTTGATCTCAACGATTCCGACTTTCAAGGCTTAGTATGACCGGGCCTTAGGTCGTTGACCCTCCATGAACATTTCCACCTCGTAGATAATCTTTATACACAGCCACAGCTCCATGCATGGCAATGGCTTCTGGCATTTTCCCCACCTCGGTCCAACATTCCCTCCCATCACCTAACGGGTTATAACAGTAGATACTGTCGTGTGCCATTGCTCCCATCAAACTGGGATCCTTCATACCTCCCAGTACATAGATCTTATTGTCTATCGGTACTGCCGCGTGGTCGGCGCGTTTGAAATTCATGTCAGGGGCAGTTGCGATGGAGCCATCCTTCGGCTTGAAGACGGTTACCCGTTTGCTGAGTTCTCCCCCTAGAATATAGATGTTTTCGCCAAGAACTACTGCAGGTGCTGCGATGTGGTCCAGTCCTGGGGAATTCAAGAGACTCCAGGAGTCGGTAGAGGGGTTGTAGACTTGGATGTAAGGGCAGGGTCGATGTGCACCCTGGCTGCCACAGATTGCATACAGTTTCCCATGTAGTGTGGCAACACTGGGCACTCGGACTGCATGGGGGAGGGGGGCGCACCATCGCCACTCGTTCTTCTTGGGTTGATAACATTCAACTTTGTCAACAATTAACGGACCTGCTCTGCCGCCAAGTACATAAAGTTTTCCATCCACTACCCCCGACCCGTGTGCTCGCCTCGCCTGCTGCATGGAAGCCAGAGTTTCCCAGTTTGAAGTGAAAAGGTTGTATCTGAAAACTTGGCTGAGAGATTTTCGTTTGATTTTCCCTCCGGTGACGTAGATGTGATGCTCGTGAATCGCCACACTCATCATTTGTATTGAGGAGGGGATCGTGGCTATGGTACAGTGTGACACAACTGAAGAATTTGTCTCAACTTCTGTCCTGTTACCCCACAGGAACGACTCCCTGGTCCTCACAGTCTCAGTTTTTAACGAGGGATCGTAACATCTCAACTCAGACACAGGCTTCCAACCGGTGGTTTCTCTCCTTCTTCCACCAACGACGACGATAACCTGTTTGCTTGAGCGTCTCGGTTTTATTGGGTCTCTTACAGTCCCACATAACGGACTCCAGTAACGTTCTGCTTTCTCCACCATCTTTATACATTCTACTGACGGCCTTACGTAAGAATTTGCCTTGACAGTGTTCAATAGATAGCTGTACTGCAGAAATGGAAGGCGAACCAAAGCTAGCAGATCCTTCATCCGGCATTTAGTTTCTTGCTCATGATATTTCATCCATTGCAAAAGAGTTTCAAACACTAGCTCTTCATTTCTAGTGTTCAGGTCATCATGGGAAATATATTCCTTCAGCTGATAGACAGGGATTTCCACTATCTCTTCTCCTTGTGCAACTTCTTCAAACTTCTGCAGCGCACATGTCTTTGCAGCCTCACACAGATCAGTACAACCTAGAGCTTCAGCGAGGTTCCAAATGCCCAGACAGTTACTAGAATCCAGGTTTCTCTTCAGAAACTCGCAACAGATAGTGGTGATTTTGCTGTGCTGAAACATGCAGGACGCCTCTAGTAGCGCTTGTACATTTTCATGGTGGATCAGAATCACACCAGTGTAGAAGAAATCAAGAAGAATCCTCACTGTCTCCTTCTCAACTCCTTCAAGGCGTACTCTTCCTTCTAGCTGTTCCTTCAGGTCCATGGAGAACATCGCCTCAAAGTATGGATTGCTGGACAAGACAGCTTTGTGACAAGGAAACTGGACATCGCCGACACATAACACGACGTCTGTGAAGATGCCAGCGTTTCTTTGATGATTTAGAATCTTGAGGATTGCCTCAGCATGTGTGGTGTCTCGGAACTCACAGCCATCGACGTGTGACAGTTCTGAGACGGCGGGTTCTTCCAGAATGGAGGCAGTCATCTTTTTGTGTCCTGAAAGGTAACGGAAGAGTAAATAAACGTTGCTGCATACCTAGAAATGGTCAACAAGACCGGTGTGGAGTCACAACATATATGTAGCCCTTGACCAAAGGTTTTTGTCCATTTTGTCCAAATTGAAAATAAGTTACACTTTGTAATGGAATGTACTTGATATAATGTTTTACGTAATAAGCTATTTACATTTCTCGAATCAAGTACAGCAAATTTCAGAAGTCCTGATGTCAGAGACAGATTCGGATATATCTTAACTTGCAATGATTCCCACAATGCAAAAATAGGCAAATATGTGAAATATTGCTTTGTTATTAGAAAAAATACCGAAACTCTTGATTAGCCCCACTTAATTGCAACACTATATCAAATATTGTGCTAGCCCTCGTTGTTTAAGTAATTAGGATTTATTATTAGGTTTTATTCTACACCACTGTTATTCATATGTGAAGTCACTGTTACATATAGCTGACTATGGCCTCCTGACACTGCCAATTTGAAACTTCCCCAAACCATGGTTAGAAGTAGGATGTGATTGGCTACTGTTCGGCTGTACCAGTGGAATGTTTCAAAACGTTTAAAACTTACGGGTGTGGACAGGAGGTTCGGCCATGGTTGGCTGGAGGTCAGCAGTGTTCGGGGGTCAAATTCGACTCAGATTTAACTCAAACCTGATCTGATTGGCATACAATGTATTGCTTTGATGCCATTGAATCTAAAGTATCAAATTAAGTATACAAGTTTTATTCAAGATATCTTTATTGAGCTATCGCAGTGAGAATATCACTGAATTGCAGTCAATTTACAGACAATTTGTTTTAAAAACGCTCCCAAAGACATATAATATTGCACATAATTCTGAATCCTTTGGTTAAGAATACTTGTTTGCAGGAAAGTATATTACTGCTGGTAAGACTAAGATCGTTTAGTTACAGCATAAAAACGTTTAAAAAATGTACACGCAATGTTTGGTGTTATTCAGTTTCTCATGGTTAAAAGTAAATAAATTCAATATATACAAGTTAAGGGTTGTTTGATTTCACGATGAACAATATAAATGAAATTTACAAATGCCATTAGGGATAATTATTGTCCATATATATACCGAACCGTTTATCTAAATTCATTTGCAAATTTGCATCTTTTTACCTATGTACTTTTAAACCGTCGCGCCTAAACACTCGTTCCCAGAATCGTTGTTCCATCATGCTTTGCACAGAAAATACGTTCTCTTTCCCAGAACACAAAAGGATTGTCTGCAAACACACACAGGAATACCTACACTCAGGCAGACGATACGGAGGAGCGTGGATACACAAATATAATTGAGTCCTGTAGGAATACACAGAGGGCTACGTGCGTATATATTGATTAAATTCTTACAGCAAAATCTGCTGTTTTGGTGTAATTTTGACTGGTATGTAATACATTTCTTGGTGTCAATGTGCATCCTACTTGTAAGGATCATAGTTCCAACTACAAAGGCGAACTAACCTGCGATCCAGTCAGTAATTTTCAGTTCTCTTCTCTCTGCCTCTCTTCGTCAGCTGATGGAGACCGCCGACATACGAGTAAATCACATCCGGGTCCTCGCAGATATATTTATGGATCCAAATGTGGATTTCACATGCATAGTGGACAGCGACATCTAGCGTTTAGTGTGAATAATGCAACAGGTTTAACGTCGAGGGCAAACGCTAATACATTGTGTATAAGCAGGCTCGATGAAAGGCCACACCAGTTCAATATGTTGGTTCACGGATTCTCCCGCTTCACTTTTTTTTCTGATTTGCAAGAAAAACAAAAAACATTTCAGCCTCTGAATAAAGTCCAAAATGCTCATATTCTGGTCTCTTCTCTTCAGAGTTGTTACAGTTTTTGGCGACGTCTCAGGGAGGAGCCTAATGATATAGTATTGTGTGCAGTTTGCAAGAATTCTAGGAATGGAATGTCCACAGGCATGTCTCTGACCCACATCTATGCCCACATTCCTGGAAAGCCTTGGGAAACCTGTCTTCCCCAGATGGCCCTACTTTCTGTGACCCCGAGGCTCGTTCACTATACACTCAGGGGAGGGGATGGTACCAAGTCTTCCTCAAAATCATGAAATGATGGCAGTGCCATTAAACAATTAATAACCCTAACAGCAACCACCATCGCCATGGCAATGTATGTTTTCATTGCCAGTCTTGTTTCATCTATGAATGCAGTGGTTTGATTAAAGGTTTGAAATTTAATGTTTGAATTACAAACTAGCCTGATATGTTGACTGCATGGCTCCTACCATGCCATTTGGAGGATGCAGCAATGCAGCAATATCCAGTTACTTTGTAACCATAAAGCACATCAATATGTATGAGTCACAGTATGACTACAACGAAAAACTGACATCTACTGATTTCAATACTGGACAACACTTAGTAAGGAACTCCGTACACAAAAAGTAACTGTTTTATCTCTTTATTCTCATAATTTGGAGTCACGATTAAAACTGTACAAAATGTTAATACGTGTGTGACTGCCCGCCTGCAAATAATACACAATAGCTGTTAAAGTTTACATCCATATACAAGACATGACTGAAAACATATTGGACATCATTTACTGCTGCCTACTTCTCAAAGCTTGACTAATCCAATGTTGTTTTTTTCAGTACTATCTCATATAATCTATAATTCCTCCAGATATTCTACAAATTATACACTTTTACCAGATAATAGTACCTTTATGGCTTGTTATGTTTTTATAATGTGTTGCAATTACTACAGGATGAAAAAGATGAAAAATAATGGAAATTTAGTAAAAACAAAAGTTAATTTAAACCCAGAAGCATCGGTAAGTACTTGACAAGAGCAAGACTTAGTTCAGTGACTGAAGAAGGTAAGTAGTTTTCAGAATCTAAGTATCGGAATTGGAAGTACGTTGAAATTTTAACAGGGTTTCAACTGTAAGAGGATATGTTACACTGTATGTACATGTAAGGTCTATGACTTTACACATATCCAATGATGTTGTCAGCGTATAGTATATGTATAGTTGGAGACAATATAATAATACAGCAATGCACAATGTATACAAACTATGCACATTTCAGTAATTATAGTTGCATCTTTGCAAATTGTGCATCAAACTATGGCACTACAATGTACAATGGAACACTGTATAATTTGACAAGGCAAAAACCTTCCGTAAAAAGAATAAAATTAGCATTATGTATTCTATATGATAATCACCTATTGTGCCGTTATGTTTCACATCAACAGCACAACTTAGATGGCCACAGAAAAAAAATATAACAATAACTTCACTTTTTTTCAACATGTTAACACTAAATACAGTCACACCGCTAAAACATTTTAAAAACATTTCTTTATGTGCACGGGTATTGTATACGATCACACTAGAATTGTGTTTGGTAAGCTATTGCATCACAATTCATACTATGTACTGTGTGTTAAGGTGGGGAAAGAAGACACGAGGATACTTTTCGCTTAAAGATAAAAGGAACAACAGAAATTACACATGCACAAATGTCTTATAGCATGAGAACTGTGTAAAGATAGATTGTGGAGTAGCCTATAGTATAGAGCTTGCTCAAGTTTACAATGCAAATGGAACAGTTCACATATGCCTGGATACCAGGCTCCATTTCTCTTGCAGACTATCTGTGAAGCATTTGTCAATGTTAACATCAGGGGGAAGAGAGGGATGTTGGGAACGATAGGTAGTGTACTTTGACACTGCCACTGAATTTGGTGCCTGCTTTTCCTTAACAAACTGCTAGGGGGCATTTTAGAACATCATGACTGCACCCAGGTGGCCTAACACTCCTTGGTTTGAGACTGTTACATTTTCAGAAATAAGTTAACTGTTTGACCAATCATGCCAGTACTTTGTAAAAGGTTTAAACTTGAGGATTTTAAACTTTCAAATTGACATTTTGGCATACCCACCCCTAACATTTGAAGAAACTTGGAAAATTCCTATTTTAAGTGAAATCCTTTCATTGAACCCCTTTTCCTCCCCTTGAAATTAACATTGACAGATGCATGAGAAAGACTGACTATAGCAACTCTGCAGAAGCATAGAACTACCTACATGTACAGAGACATTCAGGGTTGATATTTTTGTACAGTTCTGCAACAACACAACTTTCCTATCCAGGAAAATTGCTCCATTTTATCTGACGTTTTTTTATACACTGGTTACATGTTGCACTGGATCCTCCTAGACATAAATACATATCAATTACATCCGATATTAATAGAACTTCATAGTACAGTTTTCACCGATCTATTGAAAACATGACTTATCTATAAGTATTCCCTAGTATCACTACTTTCAATAGGACAGCAAAACACTATAATGTTATCCTCACGTAATTCAATACAAAATTTTAAAGGTATTTTTGTCCATGATTATGCCATTCTACAATCAAATATGAAATATATCCGACTTGCAATAAGAATCACGATAATTGTACTACATGACTAATAAAAGCTAGATAACTCAGAGTCACTCTGATTTGAAAGTTTAAAAACCGACAATTTTCTAGTCATATACAGGACAATATCCTAACTTTTCTCTGGACTTTACATAGTAATCTAGTCATAGTTAATAATAGATGCACAGTATTCACTTTATACTACACAGCAGTTGGTTCACAATTACTGCACAATTGGAACAGGTAAGGGTAAGGGGATCGTATACCATCCACACATATCTTGATTTATTTTTTCTTGAATATGGTGGCGAGAATACGCCACCCTATATGGTATCAGTATTCACATTGCAGAGCTCAACACTTCTCTTACAAGATACCTTACAAGTCAAGCTTGTGTCTTGAAAGAAGATGTGTGACTGTAAGTTCTAGTGCTACACACAAATAAGTGAGGGGAATATATGCTAACTGATCTGAATAAAGAAAAGGTTCTTACAGTACAATACAAGTCACCTTTTCTACCAGACCACAAAATATACCAATGAATACACTTACACGCGATCCAGAAAGGTTGGTTTGGTTCCCCTCCTAGCAATTTTGGTTTTGCGCTTGTTCCAACGTAACGTCACGGTCGAAAGATGTCTCCCTTCGCAAGAAGTTGCGTCCCATGTCTCCTGACAAAGCTTGATCCTTGGTTCTTTGCTCCTAAGTTCCTGTACACATTCTACCAACAATAAGCTGTGTCTTTTGTTTTTATGTTCACAAAAAGCTTTCTCCTATATATCTTCACTGAATATTCTTCTCCGTGTTTAGTTGATGTCCTGTACACCCCAGAGGCAGACTATATATTTTTTTTCTTTTCTTGCTCCTCTGTTTTTGCAATGATTTTTTTCATCTTTGTGACTGTAACCGTCTAATGGAATAAAACTCAGATCCATGGAATCTGTGGTGGCTGACAGCCTGCCTCCATGTTGTGTCATACCTCCAGGTACTTGGGCAAAGTCGGGGCCAGGAAGGGCTCATTCCACATTCGTTTCAAATCACCCTGTGGGGAGAAAAAAAGTGAGTGTAAGTGAAATATTGCAGCAAGGAAATTGCATTATCATATTGAAAACAATTAGGCTTTATCATACAAATTGTACATTTAAGTTCATGTAGAAAATTACTTTCTTTTTGACCTAAATCATTCATGCACAAAATAAGAGAGGTAAGCAATGCTTATGTCAGGTTGAATTTAAGCCTGTCAGTATTTGCCTTTTAAAGATTAAAACATTCAATGATATTGATAATTAATCATGAATGGCCAAATTTGCAGAGTCCATGGTACCTCTCTTGGGATAAACTTAAAGTTTTGAAACCACTTGTCTATTGACTCTATGACTTGATCCCAAAGTATTATCAACTCTCCATTTAACTGCAGTTTTACAGTTGTGTCACTCATCAAAGCAGCAACAATCAAAGAAGAGAACTGAGTTTTCAGACATCCAGGAAGTCTTATGGGTCTTCGTAATCATTGATCAGTCATTCTTTACATCAATCTTCCCTCCACCCGTGTGCTATCAACCTACCATCCCATTCACACCATTTCCTTAGTCTGACCTTTTGACCTTTCATTCTGTCAATCAAACTTCCACCACCACCCATGTGCTATCAACCTATTCCGTTTGGATAAAGACACACACAAACCCACAACCCGGCCACCCAAAACAATACTTCTGTTCCTGTATTTCCTTACTTTTAGGTACGCCATGGTGAGGAGAGGGAGTAGTGTGAATGGTACCAGGTACAGGAGAGCTGGCTGTGCTGCACGGTACACCTCTGACGCTATTGTCGCCGTCAGTAACCCTGTAACAGAGATTTCAGACTTCTGTCAAGTGTTTCAGGTTTGTGGGAATGTATTTTAGCTGTGGAGGGGAATGTAAGGTGTAATGTCAATGTTACATAAAGTATATACAAAACTGTGGTCAGTTATTTAACTGTAACAGCTTTTGTTTAATAACTGACCACAGTTTTGTATATCTACAGCTCCTGTACATTTGGGACCACATTGTAAATACAGTTCCCTGTAAGTGTAACCATGCATATGTGTAGATAAGTAAATATTTTACATCTGGGAATGCATCTATGGTAAGTGACACCTGTGTTGCAATTCAATGTGAACCAGCCAGAATTGCCCTCAGGAAGGTGACAGACAGTCACTGAAACAGTGGCTGAATAAAATACTTGGTTGAGAAAAGACTCCCATTACTCACTATTTTCCTTCTTTCACCATTGTATTGGCATGTATCTCACAATGTTCAATATACTGTAGTAAGATTGAATTACTGTTTCAATACATGGAAATCAGACTCTTGCCCATATAAACTATTTTACAAGGGGAAGTTATCTAATACAGCTCTCAAAGAATTTCAGGATTGACTCCTATGGTACTTTTAGTGATTACATCACAGGGACACCAAAATGGAGGCAGACACAGTTATTTTTTTTTTATTTCTCAGTGAATTGTAGGTTTTCAATCTTCTGACTCTATCTTACCAATATCAAATACTTGTCTACAGTTCAAGGAAGATCATACATTAAGAATGACTAAAATGCTCGAGCTCCGATCCATTCAGGAACCACTGTACAAAATACTTTTTTGAACCAGGTTGCCCACTGGCAAAAATTAGGTTGCCCATCAGAATTTTAGGTTGCCCCACCTATAAAGTTACTACTTTCCTCAAATTAAGTAATGTTACATACATTAGCCTTTGACAATATTTCTAACAGCCTTTAGTTAACTCATACTAGTAATAGCCATTAATACCTAAAATTAAAAATTATCTGCCGGATACAGTGGTGCATTTGGTGATTTGGGGGGGGGGGTCATTCTTAAAGTTCGTAAGTAAAATTTGGTTGCCCGGGGCAACTGGGCACCCTGGGAACCCAAATAAGGACAGCAACATGGCCGTCAGTACCTGCCTTCTGGAAAGTGAATGTACTATACTCACCTATGAAGTATCCTATAAGAGAGCAGTGAAAGTAAGTCAGCTTGTGTACAACAGTCAGGTTGGGGACCAGAGGTTTGGGTGGCTGCTCCTGAACACCATGTTTCTTCTTCCAGTGGTCGTACCGCATCACGAAGCACAGCAACAGGCCTGGCATCACCTGGAATACACAGTCAACATGTCATTAGGCCACACCAATTTAATTTCTTGGTTAACGGAATTTTCTTAAAAAATAATGGAGCAGGCGGGCGAAAAAATAAAAATAAAAACAGGCCTAGGCATCCTATTATGGCCCAAAATGGTACGATAGGAGCCATGAAGTCTACACACCAGGCTGGTTCAAAATTTAAACAATGAATTTTGAACTTTTAATGATACCATTGCATTGAAAGCTGGAATAACTGTAATAAGTAGGATGAAAAGGACTGTTTTAAACTGTTCAGGGCAAAATATGAGCATTTTGCAGTTGATTCTGAATTTTTATTTTTGTTTTTATTTTAGCAAATAAAAAAAAAATGAAGCGAATCCGTTAACCAAGAAATTAAATTGGTGTGGCCTTATCCAGCTTTTAATTCCTCATGGCAAACAGAGCGAGAAAATTAATGCTTATATGCCCCATTTACATCTCGTTCTCAAATTACTTCTAAAAAAAATCTACGGCTCTCAGTGGCAAATGTGCTGATGTTGACACATCGGCACACCAAATCCATAGTGTGTTTTTGGCACACAGTTAGACAGATTAGCCTAAGAGGCTCGGTGGGCGTCACTCCACCGTACAGGTGGGGAAGTCATGCATTGCCTTTCCCAAGGGCACAACGTCGGGCCACGGTGAGTATCGAACCCAGGACCTATTGGTTCTGAGTCCTATGCTGTAAATCGTTGCGCCACCAACGCATTGTCAAATTTCTTCTACACATGTAGAACTCACGATCAAAAATCTGATTTAATGCACAAAATATCAAAGGCTAGAAGAATAACTTACTATGTCTCCCAGTCCTAACATCGAGAAGTGTCCATTGTTATGGTAACTGGAAGAAAAAGGGAGAAGAAAAAAAAACTGCTTGTAAGTCCATGATATTCTGACAATAGGAAAGCTGCAAATAACAACTGTTTGCAACATGCAAAAATATTCGACTGATTCTATTCCTTTGTATGACATAATTTCAGATATTACTGTGCGCAATTGACAATCATCATCGTGACAATTATATATGAATTTAGATGATGTAGGATGTTACTTTCTTCCACTGGTCGTGACAGAGAAGACAGACGCTATATAATATGTAGTATTTACAGGTTCATTGTACCGGGGAAATTTCTCTAGCTTCTTTCGACAAGCACAATGAACAGTGGACCACTGCTTAACATCCCGTCCTAAGGACTGCGACCCTAAACAGTAGTATGCATGTCAGGCAAGCGACAACAGCTGAGATTTGAACTCCCAACCTCTTGGTCCAGAGGCAGGGTTGCTAACCACTGGACTACGCACACTACATTGTGATTTTCTTTTGTTGGTGCCAGTACACTTGAAAGTGAGTCACAAGTCCATGTCAAGTTTCATTCAGAATTGAAGATGAGTCTACTAAAAAGGATAACAAACAAGATCACCTTGGGAACACTAGTTTTCCAGGTAAGGACAGCTGTGGAGCATCCTTGACGGCACGAGGCAGGTTCAACTTCTGTGCAACAATTCCAACCTGTGGAGAAAATAACATAAGTAAAACATTCAACTCACTTCACATCTGAAGTTGCATTTACATGTGTATAATAATGTATATCGTCAAGATATTGTCAGATCTTCACTCAAACTACAACATGCCATACATTTCTAACATGTGCAACCACAAACTTTGCAAATCCTCTATACAAGTCTTTGGAATTACAGTATCAAGACATCTTTATATCACAAAATGAAATGCATACACTGGGGCTACACTATACAATACAGCCTTTCCTTTAAAAAAAGGACTGTGTAAATGTCATCATAGGACATTTAAAAAGAACACTCAGACTTTACCGGATTTTCAGCGGGTCTTGTTGCCACCTTTACCATCACATTGGCATTAAAGATGTACGTAGAGAAAAATACCTGCAAAAACAACAATTATATATATAAACAAACGTTTTCATGGAACTTATTACATTACAAGTATTTGCCACAATGAATCTTTTTACAATTATTGCACCATATTCAAAATGAAGATGTGTATAAAAACAAAGTGTTCCATTTGTAGACATCCCTTAATTTTTTGTCATATTTTCCATGAGTTAATGAAATATATGACAGAATATGCTTTAGTTTTTAAAAATCATTCAGCAACATTAGTAAAATAAAAATAAAAACTACACTCTTTTTTACCTAAACACAAATAACTGACATGTTTTAAATGTATCATCCCAACCTATAAGTTAAAACCTAACAATTCTAGATAACTTCAATGGTTTGATTTCCTCAGTTCCCACATACAGAGCTGTAGTGTTGAAGTGATTGTTGACTGACTTACCCAAAAGACGTCATAAATTAGCAGGCCTGACAACAGCAGGGTGGAGACCTTCAGACTGGGAAGACGGACAAACGCTATCATGGCCACACACAGGCCCATAGCCAGGGCTGGAAATAAACAAACAAACAAACAAACAACATTAATACATGACAGACAAACGCTATCATGGCCACACACAGGCCCATAGCCAGGGCTGTAAATAAATAAACAAACAAACAACATTAATACATGACAGACAAACGCTATCATGGCCACACACAGGCCCATAGCCAGGGCTGGAAATAAACAAACAAACAACATTAATGCATGACAGACAAATGCTATCATGGCCTCACACAGGCCCATAGCCAGGGCTGTAAATAAATAAACAAACAAACAACATTAATACATGACAGACAAACGCTATCATGGCCACACACAGGCCCATATAGCCAGGGCTGGAAATAAACAAACAAACAAACAACATTAATACATGACAGACAAATGCTATCATGGCCACACACAGGCCCATAGCCAGGGCTGGAAATAAACAAACAAACAAACAACATTAATACATGACAGACAAATGCTATCATGGCCACACACAGGCCCATAGCCAGGGCTGGAAATAAACAAACAAACAAACAAAACAACATCAATACATGAAAAACGCTACCAGCAAATGATATCATTCAGCAATATGTACATTTTGTTGTATTTCAATCTACAAAAAGATATAAAACAGCAGTGACACAACTTAATGAGTTTACAACTTCGAATTTATTACATTGGTACGTGAAGAACTACTTCAAGTAGAGGAGTTATCGACCAAGAATTAAGGTGATTTCTCCTAGAACAATCGCACAGTGGAACTTGCTGCCAACAACTACAGGAGGGCATCATCACTAGATAGCTGTAAACAATGTTTAATGTTAGATGTGCGAAGGTAAGGTGTAACAAGTCATTTGGTGTAATTTAGCCAGCTGCTGCTGCAGTGTGTGCCTGCAAAACTGGTGTGAATTAAATCCATTTGATGGCTGCTCTAGACTAAAAGTGCCTCTGCCATAACAAAAAAAAAAACTAGAGAAGAATCATCTGCAAAGCATTTATGCATAATGTTTACCTTCGGACATGGTCTGCTCTGTTAATTCTCACTCAAACACATTCACATACAGGAACTGCTAGTATATGGTGACAGGAGCAGAGCAGACCATGAAATTGCAACATTATGTAACTCAACACCAGTCACCATGGTGACAGATGTCAACAAATTATGTCATTGGTCAGGTCAGAGGTCACTGTTTGGAGAAGAAGAAGAAGAGGAAGAAACAGAGCAAAAACAATATGTTTTCCTTCGGTAAACAAAATGAGGACCTACCATCCATTAGTAGCCAGTGGCCTGTGAAGATCCATATAAATACTATCCCCATGGAAATGGCAAAGGACATCAGTTCTGCAGCTGTGAATCTGCCACAGCATCCAAACGATATCCTGAAACAAAACATGAATATTCAATGTCAGACATTTTGACTTCAGGCCGTACCATTTCAAGATCTCTGGAGGGATGGCCATTGATATCTTTGTCCTGTTATTCTAAATTTTGAATCCCTTATAATGTACATAATTGTTACTAAGGCCACACCAATTTTATTTGTTGGTTTTTGGATTCACCTCTTCATTTTTTTATGCAATGCAGTGGTTTGATTAAAAGTTCAAAATTCATTGTTTATATATTAACCTAGCCTTTTGTGTTGACTTCATGCCTCCTATCGTAACATTTGGGGCTATAATAGGATGCTTAGACCTGTTTTCATTTTGATTTTTTTTGCCCTGTTGCTTCATACTTTATATGAAAAAATCCAAGAACCAACTAGAAAGGCCAATATTTGCTTTGGAGCAAATACAGCGATGGGTTCACCACATTTTACGACATGGCAGGGAAAGAATGGGAAACACAAGGGAAAACAATGATTTACATTGATATAACTATAATATGAAGTAAAATACAACTAAAACAACAGTTGGATAGCTATTCCCTACTTTATTGGTTAGGATTTTTAATTGCATAATGCAAACTGTTGATTTTCAAAATAAAAAAAAACGTACCATGCCCGGCATTCCATTGCTGGAGCAGGAAAGCTTGAAATACCTACCAAAACACTTGAATACAGACATACTGTCAGTATGGAAATGCTTCTGTGCAGGTGTTAATCAAGTTAAATCCCAACAGCCAATCAGCAAGAAGTATAGAGGAAAGCTGCATGCCTATTGGTTGATGCCCTGCATTCCATTGTGATGACTCATGTCCAAACGTGGTAAACAAGGCACCCTAACACAGTAATACATTTGCTATAACACAGCCAAAAAACTCAAATAAAACCATTCTAAAAGCCTGTATCACAATAATTTAAAAACGCCTAGGGGTATTTGCCCACTGTACCTCCATACCAAATTTCAGGACCTTGGGCCCTAAAATGAAGAAGCTGAATCCATTTAAAAAATGGCAGGAGGAGAAGGAGGAGGAGGAGAAGAAGAAGAAGAAACATCAGAAAAAGCAATATGGTTTCACCACACCACTTCGTGGTGTGGTGAACCCATAACAAGTTAAATTGGTGTGGCCTTTTATTCTTAAAATAATAAAATATATATCAAAGATGACTGGGATTCAAATGTCTGACATTTTCATTCTGGGCCATTCACATTTTTCATCTTGTCATATGATTTTAACTTTTGAATCCCTAATTATTAATATTAATCCCCTATTGTAGGAAAAAATATCAAAGATCCTTTAAATTTAAATTGGGACACTAATAAATAGCAGTAAATACATGAGCAGGATTTGTGTTCTGGCATAATATTTAATTTAACCTATTTAATTTGTTGTTTCTCAGATCTTTTCACAAAAAATATGAAGTAACAGGGCGAAAAAAAAAACAGGCCATGGCACCCCATGATAGCCAGAAATGTTGCAATATGAGTCATGAAGTGAACATACCAGGCTGGTTTATAATTAAAATAATGGATTTTGAACTTTTAATGAAACAAAATTGCATTCAATTTGTTACATTGAACCACTAGAAGAAAAGGACTTTCTTCAACTGTTGGGGACAAAATATGTCTTTCGTTGATCATTTTGCAGTTTATTTAGAATATTTTTTTTTTTTTGCAAATCAGGGCAAATCTGAGAAACAACAAATTCAATGGCCTAAACTGGAAAGTGTTAGTCTGAAAAACCGAAGCAAAAGTAGTTGTGAAGTTGAACTTACTTGGTGCCACTGGAGCAGGGCCGTATAAGGTACTGACACATGGGGAGGAGCAGGAATGCAAACGCCACCGTGGCTAAAACTGGAACAGCAAAAACAACAGTCGTCACTAGCACCACCTCAGAGTCCATAGTATAACATGCTTGCATTGCATTTCAAGACCAAATGACATCAAAAAAAGTCTGTAAAATACATAATTACAAATATCGGAAGTGTACATACAATATAGTCACTTGAAGTTTGTTCCAATCATGATGACTGAGAAATAGAATTTGTACGGCCTTCTAAAAGTGAATTTTTGAAGACTCTAGGAAGCTTCCTAATTCCCCAATTGAGCACTTTAAGTATTGTCTACCTTGTGGACACTTAAGCCAGACCGTCTACATGTACGGAGATTTAAAAAAAAATGTCCCAACTACAAATTGTGTGCAAATCGCAATCAAAACTTGTGCCAAAATGGATCAGAAGTCCTTCGTTTTCCGATTGAATCATACAAAATCTGGTGCAATGGCCATGTGGGTAGAGTGTTTGCTTTTTATTCAGTAGGTCATGTGTTCGATTCCCAGCCGAGTTATACCGAGGACGCAATAAATGGTACCATTGGACTAGCACCCAGCTGTAAAGACGGCACAACTGTGTGGCCTAAGGGCTACAGATAGACAGATGGGTGCTGCCCTACTATACGCTATCTTCAAGAGTGTATTAATGAATAAATAAGCCACACTTCTGTCATAAATTCTTTTCCTAGGTCTATATATGCTTGAGATGAATATTCTGTGTAAACTATAATTTGCAATCTCTTTCACATTTATCATTTAATGTCACAATCTTGTTTTGTATATATTTCATTGAATGAACATTAAAAAAAATATGCACCACATAGAGGTGTAGGAAGGAAATTTGAGTTTCATTTTACATAGAAAAGCTTCTGGTTTAAAAGGAGTACATCTAGCTGAACTCACCGGCTGTACACAGAGCGAAGACCACCTGCATGGAGTCGAAGAAGAAGAACATGACCAACAGGGAGACCGAGGCTCCGATGGGCAGGAACATTGCCTGGGTGGAGTCAATCGTCTGGACACCTGTGAGTGAGAACAGACCTGGCTTACCAGGGTTCCAGCTAGGTTTGCAACTGTTTTACTGTGTATCAACCTTCTTAGCCTGTCACTGCATATAGAAGTTTTAGTATACATTAAAAAGAAGGGACCAAACAAAACATGAACAATGCAAGTATCATCTGTGTTTATAAAAAAAAAAGAACACACAAAAAAAATTTGTCGGCATTAGCTTCAAAGGACGCCGCTAGTCATACCGGGGTACGTATCATGTCACGAACACTATACAGTTGGAATTCCACATCTTATACGGCACATAAAGAAAATTTATGCGAGCAATAAATTTCATTTATTTTGCATATTTGTTTACCTTGAACATCGTGCATGATATAAGGAAAAAAATACTGCTTAGAAAAAAATAACGTCCGGTTAATTTTTGCTTCTTGGCGCTCCCCTCCCCCTCCTCTGGGGGCGAGTCGTCAACATCGGCCGCGGGATCCTCGGAGACGGTGGACCCGGTGGCATCTCCCGATCCACCGCCCCCGGCTGCACCAGCCTCTGATCCACCGCCACCGGCTGCACCAGCCTCTGATGCCGGCTGGGCCCGTGAAAAGAACTTGAAAATCGACCCCTTCTTCATGGGCCCTTCTTCATGCTTTACAAATTTCCTGGGTAGCACTGAATGCTGGGAAATCCGAAAACTCTGTTTTTCACCGAATTTCACCGAAAATTGGACGAAAAAGCGGAAATTACTCTGCCGAAGGACTTCGTCCCACTTCGTACAACAACAAGTTTCGCAGGTCTCACCATATTTGGTAAATCAGCTACGTAGGCCTTCGCGTCTTGCCATATTAGGTAAATCATTACGTAGTGCCTTCGCGTCTTCACCTGGGGACGAGAGCAGCTTGTTCCCAGGATGTTCAGTGAGGAAAACAATATGGCTGCCATGCGCCCAGCAGGGCTCGAAATTAACATTGTCCCAGTGTCAAATGACACTAAATTTTCAGCTTGGGACAATTCAAATTACGTTTCGGGACAATTTTGGGGCAATTGGAAAATTCTAAGACCATCCACGTCATTTGGGAACGCGATCCATCCATCCTGCTGCAGACTGCTGGCAGCCTATAAATATATAATACTCTGACAAACATTTAAATTTGACCAATCAGGGATTCCAAATATCAGGGACGGTGCCATGCCCATGATATTATCATGTATTTCCCTACATTTACTAATAAAGTGGACTTCAAGTTGTACAAATTCAGTTGTTTTCTTATTTTTGTCATCAACTTATTTCCTGAAAAGCAGACTGGGACAATTCGGGACAATTGAAATCTATGTTCGGGACAATTCTGGGACAATAGTGAAAAAAGTTAATTTCGAGGCCTGGCCCAGCGCGATGCCGACACAGCAAGAAACTTCGGAGATACGCAGTGCAAACATGATATATCGGTATTTTCCAGGTGCAAAATTGCACATTCAAAATATTTTTTGGTGCAAATCTTGAGAATTACGTGCAATTTGCACATTGCACCTTTGTATTTCGAACTCTGCACAATATTTCTAACAAAAAATTAAAAGAAAGGGAAGTACATGCATACCATTTTCGTTCTGTTTATTAGCAGGTGTAGTTGATGTGGAAAGTAGACTGTCCTGGTCCTTCTCTTGGTTCTCCTCCTGGTCCATATTCAGGGACCTACAGTAGGTGTCAATCAAACAACATTGTACATCAAGTTACTGCAAACTATATACCATAAGTTAATTTCATTTAGTTAATCATAGACCATAAGTTAATTCTATTTACTTAACATCAAGTTACTGTAAATCATAGACCATAAGTTAATTTTATTTATTAAACATCAAGTTACTGTATATCATAGACCATCAGTTTATTTTCAACAATATATATGTACCAAAATAAAAATAACATAAAAAACTTACTCATATTAAGCCATGTGTGTAAGTGCCTACATGTATGTCCATGCACAAAAAACTTAAGGATGCCGAAAGCACATGTCATGTACATTATATAGCATAAAAAAGTTAAGCTTCTCAAATCCATTATGGCACCTGAGTATTTACAAGGTCACGAACAGCCAGCAAACAAGGTCATATAACAGGACCCTTAACGTTGTGCATTACAATGATATAGGTAGGAATTCTGGCCAAAATGTTTGGTAAAATAGCTTGCAAACAAATTAGATCTACCTTCATGTTCATATAAAAAATGTTTTTTGAGTAAAACTTTTAATAGATTTATTATTCAAGACAAGATTAGTTATTCAAAACAGTTGAATCTGTCCAAGGAGACCACTTGCATTGGGAGACCTGAAAAATCGATTCTGATCTATGTGGACAGGTGGTCAGTATACCTGGGCTCGAAATTAAAGGTGGTCCAGTGGCCACTAAGATTTAGGCCGGGACAATTAAAAAGACACTTTGGGACATTTTTGGGACAATAAAAAAATAATCAACATCAGAATGTCAGCCCTTCTTTTGTTTATCAGGCACACGTCCCGGCTTTTGGATCCGGAAAAGTCCCCCCAAATTTCCTGTCTACTCTGCTATTATAGTGCACCTGGGAGTGAACATAAGCAAACTAAAGTTCACTTCAAGTTGAAGTCATACAACACTTCCCGACCTGGACAGTTCATCCTGACTTTGGGACAAATTTATTTTTGGGACAGTGATGAGACAATAGGAAGAAAATATAATTTCGAAGCCTGGTATAGACAGGATTCTTAATGTTTCTGTCAATGAAGTATACACAAATTTTATATCTAAGGGACAGGCAAAAAGTAGTCACATTGGCCAGGTGGTTAGAGGATACTTGCATGTATAGGTTCGACTGTACAATTTTACGGCAAATTCAAAGGGGTATTTGAGGCCTGCCATAAGAATTCAAGACAAGACAATGAGGATTGTCTTAAGACATGAAGATGGGTGTCTGACCTGAAGCTGCCGTAGACAATGAGAAGTATGGAGATGAGAAACGTGGAGACTCGTGATGAGTCCACCAGCGAGTACGCCCTGCACAACGGGAAAAACACACGATAGTATTAGAACAAACAATTTTTTTACATGCCTGCATATGATCATCTACAACCCAACATAGGGATAGTTCAATTTTTAACTACATGTAATACAGTCAAACTGTCTATGCCGGCCACCAAGGCGACCAAAGAAAAGTGGTCACCTTGGACAGGTGGTCTCCTTGAAGAGAGTTGCTTCAAATTCACAACATGACTGAGGCACAAATGGTTTCCAAGTCCAGATCCACTCATATAATCCATATATCATACTAAAAGCATTCAGAAACCAGTTGGTAAAACCCAACGCAGCAAATAAAAATCCACATACACGTTCATATATCATATAAACCCAGTTCAAGGACTTGATGAGATGCATGTAGACATCAGAAATACCTGCATAGCGCCAATTTTACCTATACTATCCAACTGTATATGTATATACATGTATATACATGTACATATTGGTATTTCCAGCTCAGGTCTTCCCGATTCCATATGGTCCCAAGGTTGTATGCAAACACAAAACACCACATGTGCCCAACTGGAAGTAATACATAATGTTTTCCAGATGAGGAAAGCTGTGCTCTGACCTAATTCTAATTTTCTAAGCTTCATGTATTTCTTCTCTTCCCAAACTACATGTAACAAAATGTTGCAATTTAAGCTCATATCTTCAAATTTACATTTTATGAATACAAGAATAAGTTACACAAATAGTAAAATCAAAATTAATGTTTATTCTAAAATGTTTGACCAAAAACTGAGTGATTTTTGGAAGGTCTCTGCATGCATAAAGTCAGAGGTCACTTGACTGGTTATTCACACAGTGATATTAGTTCAACTTCAATCATATCTATTTACAGATGTGGGTACAGGGAAATGTTTAATAAGTGACTTAACTTCCTGGGGAAACTGTATAGACAAAGAGAACGTGTGAAAACACAGAACAGTTCTATGGTTGGTTTCTGAGACATGAAGCTACATACAGATACAGATCTACATGTAGACAGTAGAGTTAGCAGAGTCTATAACTGTGCTTTTTTTCTGCATTAGTGTGGGGAAAAAAATTACCTGAACCACAAATACCAACATGTATATTTCAACCCAAAACATATATGGACAAGTGCAGGTTAGGTGCAAGTAGACATCAGAAAAACATACACAGCCCCAATTTTACCTGCACTTACCTGCATATGCAGGTGGTATTTTAACTTAAGGCCTGCAGTCTAAATCTCAAGATTTCACTGGTATAACTTAAGTTATATCGGTAAAACAATGTGGTTGTTTATAAGATGTCTAAACATTTTACATATGAAAATCTGTTACATTTTATTTGTAAAAGTGTGTGGAGTTGATGGCCTACATTATAATAGGTTTTAGGCTGCCGCTAGCAGACATGGGATCGAGAGGTCATGGGTTTGATTCCAGGCTAGACATGTGTCCTTGGGGAAGGCAATTGATACAGCTTCCCTCACTGTGTGCATGGGCACCTGACCTTGGTTGGGGAGGTAAAAAAAGCATACATGGAATAAAATAGAAACGCCAGTTAGGGCCTTGGGGGTTGCAGCGACAAGTCAGTCTGACAATTCAAACGGTGTCTTGTCTTAATTGGCAAGTTCCAGGACAACTTAAAGTCACTTTGACACAGACAACATATGTACATGGTCTACGGCTTGCAGGTGTGGAACATGCATAGCGTTAAGACCGCACTGACATTGATATTTGATTTATTACATGTCCATATTTTTGTATGTATATTTATGTATTGCTTTCATAATGTGTTTAAATCCAATGCTGTTTTATACTGTTTTTATTGATGTAATTAGGGGAGGGAGCTGGTAAAGGTGACCCACCTGTTCTCCCTCCCCCTCCATGCATGTGTTGGTAAATTTTAATAAACAAATAAACAAATACATGCATTGATGAAGCATTTGGATAGGCTCCACCTTCCTAAATAGTATTCTTATTAACCTTACGAAACAATGCTATTATCACTTCTGAAACTAAAAATAAAATATTCTTATTGTTACATCAAGGACATTTGGCATTCTACCTTTTAACGTTAAAACTTTAAAAAAAGCAAAAGAAACAAGATTTTGACTGGTAAAACACTGTTTATGTTTGCACAGTGCATAACAGGATGTAAACTATGGAAAACTGGAAAGAAAAATTTACTCAAAGAATCCTCTTATTGCTGATGAGCTGCATTAAAACTGAGAATCGTTACCATTAACTTGCAAAATCATATTTTACAGCTTTGTACATGTACATATGTAAATACATTGTACATGTATCTTACTTTTTAGTTCCATGACTTCACTATACAAACATAATGTATTATGCAACTAAAATTAACTGTATCTGCACAAATATAAATATATAAAAATAAGCAGTAGCTCAAAATATTTTCTTGTAAAACGTCAGACCTGAAATAATGTTGATCACAACTTAGAAGTTTGAGTCCAGGAAACAAATATGTACATAACCAATTTGGTGGCAACATTTGCATATGATCGGTTACGTTGTTCCCACTCTGGTACTATTATGACAACATTGCTTCTGTATCCGGCAGCTTTCAAACACGACTAAAAAAAATACAAAAAGCTAATAACATATGGAGTGCTCCAAAACCCACGACAAATAGTGACATGGGTTTTACTTCACATTCATTAGACCTACATTTTGTACCACCCCCACAACCTTATGGTACATGTATGACCTTGCAATGGCGGTGGTGGTTTTATTTTTGTGGTTTTCGCAATGACCTTGCCAACCTGAATACATGACACCGTGAATATCATAATCTGTTTCCATTGTATAATACCTATAATACTAGCTACGTAACTCGGGCCTTTTTCCACTCCTGAGCACTGCAAAATCAGGGCTCGAAATTCATAGGTGCACTGGTGCACCCAACCGAAAATAGTAAAAAATTGGGTGCACAAAAAATATTTTACTTTTTAGGTGCACCGTTATATATAAGATAAAATGAGTAGAATAACTGAATGTCTATAAAAACTATGATTATGACATCAAGATTTTATGGTTTCTAGCCAACAACTTGACATGTGCATAACCATTTTATAACATGTGAATATGTACTGTAATAAAGGGATGATGAACATGTTACTAAACAACAAAAATCTCTATAATCATACGTCATATCCTGTTTCGGAAAAAAAGACTGTGTTTGTGTGATGTTGAGCTTAGAGTTAGAAGTAATCAAATAGGTAATTTTCAATCCCGCACAAGAGGATGAGACTACTTGGCTGCAAAATTTCTGACAGATTGCTTGATGAATTTCAAAGACAAATAACAGTTATTATGTTATTCATTTTTCCACCTTTTTGTGTATTTTGTTGTCTTTAATTTAAATCATACAGCTCCATTTCCAATTACAAAATCAAGGGTCATACTGTATACATTACCATTTTTTTATCAAGTAGAAAAAGAGGCCTGGATATAAAAGAATACACATGTGCAGGGCTCGAAATACTGGGTGCATGTGCACCTTATTGCACCCAAATTTGGAGCTGTGCACCCAATTTTTTTCTGCGGGTGCACTGGTGAACCCAAATATTTTTGTAGGTATTTTTGTACACATTAAATGTATACTAGTAATAGTATACAGGATATGCTTGGCATCTAAGTGTCAGAAAAATAATAAAATATTTGCTGTAGTACTTAAGATTTTGATGTTAGCTCCCATTACAGATTCGGCCTTAGAAGAGGAGCAGTAAGATTTTATATGGTGCACTCAAAGAAATTTTTGTGCACCCAATTTTTTAGGTTGGGTGCACCAGTGCACTTATTCCCAAATATAAAATTTCGAGCTCTGATGGTGTAGATTGGCTACACTGTTATGTATCAACAACCCAAGTTTAAGTTTAACTTTACCAATCAAAGAATCCGTACAACTTGCTGAGACACAAAAAGACAGCTAACTGCAGAAAAACCGTTTAAATGTTCTGCTAGACATAATTGATACCTATGGGACATAGACATTCTCAGATATAATCCCTCTGAAAATCTTTCTAGGCCACCATGAAATCTTGATGTCACAAAGAACAACCTCCTGGGATGTCAGTAAGGCCACACCAACTTAATTTTATGGATGACACCCTCTGAAGACCCACAAACTAGTGCGTGCAGGCGAAAAAAAAAATTCTGGCCAAAAATAAAAATGCTACTAAACCACAGAAATATAAAGCTGGTATTGTGAATTAGCGACGTATACGACAAGACGGCACATGCTGGCTTTTTGCGGAATTTATGAATCGGCACTGTACGTATGTACTGAGTTCTTGAGTCGTGGAGCTTCGGTAGCCTGGGTGACGTCCTCCAGAGTTACCGCCGGCTCCGTATTGTCGCTAACTACCATGGACTACCCAGGCCTAGAGCCAGGCCAGAGCTTCAGTGGACGTGATCTTTTTTTTTTTTTGAGAACAGGCGAAAATCAATGCGGCCACGGATGTCATCCATAAAATTAAGGTGGTGTGGCCTAACAGGCAAAACAACATCAGTAACCAGTAGAATGATTCAATAGATATATTTTCAATTAAAGCACCACTGACGATTTCCATATGTTATGATCCATTTGTATTTCCGTCGCAAGTGAATTCAATTTTGGATAAAATGAGAAATAAAACTCTTTAAGGAGAGAGTTTTATTTTTTTTTTAAATTGAAAATTAGTGAGAGAGTAAGAGTTATATAGGACAATTTCATGTAGGTTTCGAACTTTTTCTATGATTTAAAGCTGAAGATGATAAGTTGAACTATACTATTAAATAAGCATTTATAGTTTTTCAGTACCAGATGAGTTTCTAAAATGTGAAAATTATGCTGAATGAGTGAAGATATAGACACAAGGGACAAGCCATGCAAAAAAAGGTTGAACTTGACATATCTTCATGTGCTCATGATGCACAACTGTGTACGTATTTTATTTTCTAACATGTGCTGGATATCTTTTTCATTTCACTTTTTTAGTGCAACTTGTATTTTTACAATTATCTACAAAATAGTCCCCTTTTGCTATATTTTGAACCCTTGGGGGACAATTTACTTTTATTTAGCAAAAAGTAGAGCTTGTTTATTTTGACTTTACTAGAAACAGCATATATATATATATATGTACTAGTAGTACACTGGAAACAATATGCAATTGCTGAACAATGAAAATATTGACTAGGGACATGTAGGAGGATACTGACTTTGTGTATTCCAATGTAACAAAACTATATTAAGATTTTGTAACTGTAGTACTTTCACAGCATAAAAAAATAAATTTGGGCATCAGGTACATCATGTATGCCATATTTTGTAACGTATTTACTCACAAGTGAATTACATGTTACATTCATCATAAATTCAATCTAATTGACATACATGTATATGTGACAAGAAGACCAAAGAAAATGATACAAAGTTTTATCACATTCATACATGCATAAAACACTTAACTTATTTATACTGGCAAACATAATGCAACATCATGTTTTCAACATAAATACAGCTACACGTATTGTTAGGGACCATATACAGTTATTATTTTTTTTAATTTTCCTCTTTCCAGCAGCTCTAATAATACGATCACTGTAACAAAGGTTTTGATAATGAGTTTATCCATAAGGTGCTTATCCCATGGGGAGCCTCTGTGTGTTATTTGATGGAGCCAAACAGATTATGAAGGGAACAAAAGGTGAAGTATTATCATATGTAGCAGCTGCAGTCTGTGTACTCAGAGGAACAAAGAGCATACCCCTTTATTCAACTCATGTGATTTTCTGGGGGACAGATGGAAAATACAACAAAGCAATTTTTGGGCAACTCAATAGTTACCCATGCCGATATCCCTGCTCCCCTTCAAAAAAAGACAATTCAGTACTAATTCTTTTTAAAAACAAAAAAAAGTCAAGTGTCGTTCTTTGTGTTTCAAATCTAGAATATTTCGCACATTTTAAGTCCATCCAGCTTGGTGCAATTCTTCTTTTAATTTATGTTTTTCTTCATTATACTGGTCAGTATATATAGTACATGCATGTCATGAATACTGTATATGAATTTTAAAAAATGCCAAGGTGAAACAAAATATTAAGTTGGAATACATATGATATCAAGGTCATCTGAGGATTGGAAAATACAAGAAATATCCAAGCTTAGCTACATATCTTATGCTCATACCAAGAGAAGAAGACATAATATGATTCAAAATGTTCGGAAAAAAAAAGAAGGAAAATAGCAAAACTGGGTGGACCAGACTTTTCCATGTGTTTGGATGAGCTTTCAAAAGCTTGACTGTGAAATCACTGTGAATCTTTTGTTTTCGTCTAGTTCACTCATCTGTAAGTTTTACCCAGGGGCAAATGAACTAAAAGGCCTTTAACTTTAAGGTCATAACAGGTTTTGTAAAAGACTAAGATATCCAACAACATTCCTTAAATCACACTCAAGGACCTCAAGATAAGCATTTTTCATCGTATCACATAATACTGGAAAAAATACTGAAAGATTCTGATAAATATATTTTGGATATCTACTAGGCAAACATAATAATTTACATGCAAAAGTGCAACTGCACTAACTAAGGTTTTTCTTGGGGCTGCACAAATGAAAAGTGCACAAAGATACAAACGAATATTATACTTCTGAAAATATAGTGGGCAATACCGCATACATTTGTACTTTGCAATTAACATTTAATAAAAGTATTTATCACCACAATGATGATGCAAAAATTTTAATTTTTCTCCAGCTAGTGTAAATGCACTTCTGACCTATCCAATAAGATTTGAATATCATAAAGGTGAATTATCACTTTTGGAAATGAGAATTTGCACCATTATTTTCTAACAGAAGAGCACTGTGGATATATCCATTCTGACAGAAAGACGCTGTAACTTAATTTTTATAGAGATAACCTACTTTCACCATCATTGATCACTGTGATTGTGTCTGTGAAGACAGAAAAGATCATTTCCAATTCAGCAATTCCTTAAAAAATGAATATCCTGATGCCCAAGCCCTTTTGAGACTAAAACTGAACGTTCAATGCCAAACCAATTCGCACATTAAAAGGCATGTAAACAAAACCTACTGTCCATCCATTCAGGAAAACACTTGAATAAACATTGCGGCGCACCAAATGAATATTCCAACTCCTTTTTTGGCCAACGGTTTGAATCAAACGGACGATTGGGAATTTTTCTGTCTTACCTAAAACCTCTAAAAGTGGTAAGTTGTGTGGTAGAAGGGTAAATTATTAAGCTGATATCGGTGTACATGTATACAAAGAGATATATACATGTACGTATTATGAGTCACAGTGTCAATCTGTGTATGGTGAAAAAAGCACGTACTTACCAGTCATAGTTCGTATCCGACATCTTGTTAAACTGTACAGATCCTCACAAAATGAATAACAAGAGTTTTGGCCGCTATAAAACCGTGGTCATCTGCTCATGTGGAGGTTCCGAGACACAAAGTCGGCAGAAAATGTCACGGAAAAAAAATGGCCGGACCTTCCCTCGTCCCCGGTCTTTCTATCGTCTGCAAAATTCGCCGGTTTTCCGAGACGAATCTCTGCACACAGAGCCTCGCTAGAGCTATTTTCCTCCTCTAAATCGACGGATGAACTTCTCTGGCATCTTCTGCAGCTGCTCAGTTACATGATTTGTAGGAAAAAAACAAAGCAAAAATCTATCTTTTTCACGTCAGGGTTCAGGCCAGAATCGGATCTCGAAGCACCGCTTTGTTTTTGTCAGCCATGGAGCCTGCTCACGTGATCATCCGCACAGAAAGTAGTTCCACCATTTCGATCGATTTATATCACTTATCGTTTCGTTCAGTCTTCCAAAAATCATTTACACTTTCTTCAAATGTGTACTCAAATATTAATTTACAATAAAAATGTATTATTTTGCTTAAAATAAAAACATAGGCGCTTATTCAGGTGAAAGGTCATAGAATGTCAGAGGTTACCACAGGCGCATTACTCCTCGCATGGGTATGAATTAAGGTTGCCTCATTTGCATATATAATGAGATGACGTCGGCTCATTTGCATATTAAATTCCGCAATGGGGAGTCCGTCTCCGGGCAAAGCCCACGTGTGACGTCAGGAGTAAAACTTTCCAGGTCTGGCGCGCTCAGCTGATGACTGTTCGGGTACAGTGTACACAAAAATGTGAGTCCCGCTAGCTCTATACAACATGGTTCCCGATTTGTCTCCCTTGCAGAAAGAACTTCTCCAAGCTTTGTTAAACTCCGGGCTTACGAAAGAAGCGCTGATCCAATGGCTCCAATCCACGCAGGTAGACCGAGAAAAGGAGAGCCTGGACCAAGAAGAAGTTTTGCGGGTGTCCAAACTAGAAGTGGACGTGGAAGAAGATGATGAGGCCATTGAGGAAGGCAGCAGGAACCACCAGTCGGATCGGGGTCCCACGGGACGCAGTCGCACCGGCTCCGAGAAAGAAAACGAGAGAGCCTTCCACGCCAAATTCTCTCACCTGAGATCTAACGGTCAACCTGGCAGCTTGGTAGAACACCTGTTACGGTAAGAAACTTGACTTCCACTACAAGAATCGGCACAGTAACACCTGTTGAATTGGTGAACTCTGGTTGACCTTTTCCAAGTTTGTCGAAGGGATGGCAAGCTAGCGCCGGGCATGTTGTTAATCGCTTCTGCATGCTTGAAATCTGGTTTGCTCCGATTTCAGTAGTCGGCTTTATAAACGGTGAATTTTCCACCCTACTCCCTAAATAATTCCCAACTTTCCTCCATATATATATATGCATTAGAACCCTTGTGTAAAATTCCCACTACGCCTATAGAAATGCGGAATATTTTAGTCGGGCATATTTTGCGATAAGCTTTTTTCTGTGTTCAATCTAAATGAAAAGGCATTCCCAGCCTGGCAAAAACAATCATAAATCACTAGTCTCTAAAAATCTGGGTCACGGCAGGCCATTCCCCGCCATATGCACCAGAAGTTTTAAATCTATTATCTAGCGTGACTGACAACAAATAACAAATATCGCTAATCATCAACATGGCTTGGTTACTGATATACGACTCAATACTATAACCTTACAAGGTGTAGTTTTTCTGAGCACTGATATCAATATAAACCTACTTTTGCCATAGCTAAAGTTCGGAAGAGAATAGAAAGTATTTTTAAGGGACAGATTTTAGCTATCGGTTGGTCTAATTGTTTCCATGTATCCTGATGTAGAGCAGGCTCTAATTATTTCCTCTTGAGCCAGAAAAAAAAAGCCGAAGATAGCAGAAAAATGCAGACAAAAAAGAAGACACATAATTTTGGTCAAATTCTAGTATTGTTTATGTATGTGAGACAGGATAAATGCTTTAATTCCATGGCAATTTGCCTTCCTCTATTTTGGTGAGATCTTTTTTGTATAAAAAGTCTCTCTTGTGCTGTGTAACAATGTGTTTTCCTTACTTATTTTCTTCACTTTTTTGTGTCAAAGAATTCTACAAACAAAAGCTAAGTCTAATGCTTTTTTTGCCAGAAGTCAAATATCATATTTCTATACACACTTAATGTCTCTAGAAATATAGTGAGATGTTTGATCATAGAACAGAAGTTGGCAACTCTTTCTTTCAAGTCTCAATCTTTTTCTCAACTACTAAGATCTAGTACTATTTTAGTGTTTTGCCTACTTCAACCCTGCTCTTATTATGGGTTCACCACACCACGAAGTGGTGGTGAACCCATATTGCTTTTTCTGATGTTTCTTCTCCTCCTCCTTCTCCTCCTCCTTCTCCTCCTCCTGCCATATCTTTAAATGGATTCAGCTTCTTCATTTTAGGGCCTAAGGTCCTGAAATTTGGTATGGAGGTACAGTGGGCAAATACCCCTAGGCGTTTTTTAAATTTTTGTGATACAGGCTTTTAGAATGGTTTTATTTGAGTTTTTTGGCTGTGTTATAGCAAATGTATTACTGTGTTAGTGTGCCGTGTTTACCATGAGTCATCACAATGGAATGCAGGGCATCAACCAATAGGCATGCAGCTTTCCTCTATACTTCTTGCTGATTGGCTGTTGGGATTTAACTTGATCAACACCCGCACAGAGCATTTCCACCTGCACAGAGCATTTCTTGCTGATTGGCTGTTGGGATTTAACTTGATTAACACCTGCACAGAGCATTTCCATACTGACAGTATGTCTTTATTCAAGTGTTTTGGTAGGTATTTCAAGCTTTTCTGCTCCAGCATTGGAATGCGGGGCATGAACGTTTTTTATTTTATTTTGAAAATAAACAGTTTGCATTATGCAATTAAAAATCCTAACCAATAAAGTAGGGAATAGCTATCCAACTGTTGTTTTAGTTGTATGTTACTTCATATTATAGTTATATCAATGTAATTAAAACTAAATCATTGTTTTCCCTTGTGTTTCTCATTCTTTCCCTGCCATGTGGTAAAATGTGGTGAACCCATTGCTGTATTTGCTCCAAAGCAAATATTGGCCTTTCTAGTTTCTATCTAGTTCTTCATTTATTAAAGCCAAGAAAATTTTTCAAGCATTTCCCCTGAATCAAATAGTTCAAGACTAGGAAATTTATGGCTGAAGTGCTGACAGGGGTTAAGTATGGTGGGGTGGATGTCAGGCGTCCCTTACATGTGTGCAAGATAGAAACCAGCAGGCCTATAGACTCACATCAGTTCATTCTGTTGGCTCTGGTTTAAGGCCACACCAATTTAAATTTTTGTTTCTCAGATTTTTTAAGAAAAATATGAAGCAGCAGGGAAAAAAAAAACAGGCCATGGCACCCCATGATAGCCGGAAATGTTCCAATAGGAGCCATGAAGTGAACATACCAGGCTGGTTTATAATTAAAACTATAGATTTTGAACTTTTAATGAAACAAAATTGCAACTTTGAAAGACATTAACACCTAGGAAAAAAAAGGACTTTCTTCAACTGTTGGGGCCAAAATATGTCTTTCCTTGAGCATTTTGCAGTTGATTTAGAAGGGAATTTTTTTTTTTTTGCAAATCAGGAAAAAATTCACAGGGTGAATCTGAGAAACAACAAATTAAATTGGTGTGGCCTAAATAAAAGATATAGAATTCTGAACTGGAATATTAAGAAATGATCTTTGGTACTGATTACAGTTTCAGGAGGTGAATACTTGTCGGATTCTGTAAATGCATGTGGTTTTATTTCTACAGTTTTCGTGAAATCATTTCTATTGTACTGCAGAGTCATTTCAACCAAAAAGTTCAAATGCATTCGGAAAAACTCCTTTTTTCTACATGTACTTTCCAACTTTGATTACTACGGGGAAAGTGGATGTTAACATATCCTACCCCAGTTTTTTCCGTGTCACCCTCCAAATTTTGTACAGTACAAAAAGAATTTGATGTTACCCTTTCGACATCATGATTGGGGAAGATTGCCTCTGCCAGGCTTCAGAAGCAGCTAGAAACTATAATAGGCCAAGTATAGGCAGATAACATGCCAGGGGAGTTTTTCTGCTAAAGGAGTACAGTTTGCAACTCCTTACGCAGACCAACTCACCTTGCATGTTATCTGTCTATTTGGCCTGTTTCTATACTCTCCAAGCAGAAAGGTTTAAGAGGCTTCTGCTAATTTTTGACGTGATTTCATCAGCCTTTTTTCGAGCTGGTATCTTTTTGCTTACACCGGATAGTGTCTTGCCAATTCAAGACGGCCTGCAAGGGGGGGTCCCGACAATGCTCTACGCTGAATTCGGAAACCTGTCGTTTACACTCTACGATAAATTCCAAGTGGCTACAACGCATTACGTAGAATTAAAACGCCGGATACGCTCTACGCAAAAATATTAGAGCGGTCTGTCGAGTCTGTCTACGCTCTACGTAGAATTAAACGGCCGATTACGCTCTGCGGAAAAGGGCTTGCTGGCCCCCTTTCAATACTGCCCTGTCAATTCGATACTGTCTTGCCAATTTGATTACTGTCTTGCAGCCACCAAAAAGATCTGCTTGGAGATTACCATTTCTTAGTAACTCTTTCCATGTCTGAAGTCTTTCAGAGGCTAAATAGATTACCTTGTTACCACCTTTTGGTCTATTAGAAGCCACCAGGCCACATACAAGAACAAGTGGTGTTGTCAACAATGTTTTTGTTCCCTTTTCGCCACCCATTGTTTCCATTACAAAGACTATTACATGCACCATCGATTCTTCACGCTCAATTAGAGATGAGGCCTGTTCTTCGAAACATGACACCAGACAGGGAAACACTTTACTTTGGATCAATCCTGAGTTTACAGACAAGTGTTCAAGGATCAGGATTAAAGGACTTTATAAACTTGTGGCAAAATGGTTGCAAAGATTTCTGTTCTTTTCTGTTCTACTTTTTGCTGTGTGATCTTCTTGTCTTATTGTCTTTATACTCAAGTCTACTTTGAAATTGTTCATCTATTTCTATCAGTCTTATGTTATTTTATGCTCTATCTACAAGTTAACTGTTACAAAGGTTTCTGTTATTTTCTGTTTTACTTTTTGCTTGGTCAGGGATGGTGTTTTCTTTTGTGTGATCTTCTCTTATTGTCTGTATACTTAAGTCTCTACTTTGAAATTGTTTATCTCTTTCTACCAGTCGTATGGTCTTTTATGCTCTATCTACAAGTAAACTGTTACAAAGATTTCTGTTATTTTCTGTTTTACTTTTTGCTTGGTCAGGGCTGGTGTTTTCTTTTGTGTGATCTTCTCTTATTGTCTGTATACTTAAGTCTCTACTTTAAAACTGTTTATTTCTACCAGTTGTATAGTCTTTTATGCTCTATCTACAAATAAACTGTTACAAAGATTTCTGGTCTTTTCTGTTTTGCTTGAAAATCTTTTCAATTTAGGCTTAAGAGGTTGTTTTATTTTTCTCCAACATCTCTAGCAAATTGAGTCTTTTTATCTTAATATGACTGGAAAAAAATTGCATGATGTCTTACAACTGGTGGTCCTATTGTTAAATTGGAGCACACCATTTTCTCATTTTAAAGAAAAAAAAACTAAACTGTTATGCCTCAAAAATGCAGCGGCTTGTGTCGAAGATGTTGCGGTGTTGCAAATTTTGTGACCTTCCACGAAAAGTCACTTTCTCACCTGGATACGCATCACCTTTCCGTGACCTTTTTACCGGTCGTCACCTGCTTCTGACCCCAGCCAGGCTCCGCAAGCAAGTCCTCAGTAAACACCATTGTACTGCATTACTTTATGGCCGGCTCTGTGCACATATTTTCCTCAGAAACAATCTTGCCAAACAGACCACCATTCCTCCGATTCCAAAGCCCATTTTCTGTGCAAAGTTGCCCTTTCTGGTTACGATTTAAACAGCGTTTCAGGCGGTTTAGAAAGGGAAGCATATTCCGAAAAATGAAACAAGAACGGTTAGAAGTAACTGATTGGTTGCTAGATAAGCGGATGGACATTGTTCGGTAACTAATACCCGTGTTTGCTCGGGCTATGGGTAGTTACAGGATTTCGCATGCAAGATTTGCCGCAAATGCGCGGGACAACGGGGCCACACCGGGCGGAGACGTAAA